CCGGTACACAATTTTTTAATCATTTATACCATATATTATTTATTTAGAACATAATATTATAAAAACCACATATATTTTAATTTATATATTTTTTTCCGGGACTCAACTTACCTACAACCTTTTTTTATCYGGGACTCAACTTACCWACTACCWTTTTTTTTCCGGGACCCAATTTACCGAGATAAGGTCATATGGGACCCAATTTACCAATCCCGCCGAACATCATTCATTAATAACTGCTCGAGAATATCAATCAAATCATCCAACTTTAAAATACCCATCATCTACATTATGTTCAATAGTTCAACAAATCATAAGTTTTGTTGGAGAAAAAATGTCAAATATCTGTCTTCATCCTAATGCTATGGACTAGCGTCCTGCATTGTCTAGTTCACGGTCAACTAGGCACCAGCCGAACCAAGATAGGGTAGGGTGCGACCAACTTTGTAATTATAAGARAGAAAGCATTTCGTGGAAATCATTWACGTTWGGGCAACACGAAATCATGTGGTTAGACGACTATAAAAGATCGTTGATAGGTGTGCAMAGGATGTGGGGTTATGCATCATTACAAAAGTTACAAGAAACAATGTCATAATGTAATATTATAATGTATATTTTTACATAATAATAATGTTAATAATAATATAAATTATCGAGGTCTGTAGCTGCACGGGATGCGCATTTAGCTCGTACGTGGGCGAGTGACATTTCCGTCAATCTAGATAAGTATTTCCGTCAATCTAGATAAGTATACCACATCCGTGAGAGCAGCGACAAGAGCTAGTAGACTATGGGGAGTAGAGGGTAGCACTATATAAGAGACCCCGAAACGGCCTGTATTCAGAAATTCACGGAATTTCAAAGCTTGTTCACCGCTACGATAAGTGCCTTAATTTGTTTGGTGATTATGTAGAAAAGTAGTAGGTATAGAAGTTGCTCTTTCAGATGTATATAATAAAATTGTTATCTTGTACTTGGTGTTTTTTAAATTCCAAAACGTTCCTTACTTTCTGAATAGCCCTCGTATTATTTAAATAAGTTGTGTTCTGCATGGAAACAATTACTCAGATTTAATTACATTTTTCCAAACTAATGTTGGTTCCAACACAACAATAC